GCTTGGGAAGCGCAAGTGTGCGCGAGTTTTTCTACGGCGCTTTTCTTTCGTCGGTGAGTTGGTTTTTCTTCTATTTTTAAGTTACTAAGGTGAATGGTGAGGAAACCTTCGTCTTAACTAAACATAAGCCCCAAACAAAATATAATGAAAGCAAAATAAAAGTAAAATAAAAATAAAGCTCAGACTTGGTTCCTTACAAAAAAGTTAATGTTAAATATTTATGTATTCCATTTATAGAGAGGAGAGGAAATGGAAAACAAAGTTGTTTTTATCATTACAACTCCTTTACTTGAAGAAGAACTGCATGCTCTACAAATTATTCTTCAATCTAGCTCTTTTATATATTGCATTGTGATCACAACTGTACCAGAATTTGCTTATTCAGAAAGAAAACCCATCACTGAAGAAGGAAGGCATTTATTTTACTCTTTAGAAGAAAAATTAATAAATTACATGGGAAATATGGTATGAAATTTATACTAATTTTCTTTATTATTAGTATATTATTCACTATCTATAATAAAGATTTATAGATTTTAAAGACTAATATGAAAAATAAAGTAATTATAAATTATTTTTCCAGATACTATTTTCATGTTAAAAAAATAACAACATTTTCAGAATATAAGAAGTTTATAAAAAGAATTATAATCTATTCAGAATTTAAAATAGATAAAAATTTTATAAAAATTTATACTTAATTAATGAATAGATTAATTTTTAATAAGATTAAAATTTAATAAGATTAAAATTTTTAATAAGATTAAATAGATTAAGAATATTTTTATTTATTAAAATGAATTAACTTTGCATTTTATTTGTGTAAAAATTTGTTTTAATTGAATAGCAAAACATCATCTCATCCATTTTGACTATACATAAAAATTGAAAATTTTTATGTATAGTCAAACCACTACCAGTAATGATTTAACTTAAAATCATATTCGTTGACTTGTGCAATCTGAAATATTGAAATGTGTAAAATAAATACTGGTAATGAAATATTGCTAACTATAGAAGTATTCAATATCAGATCTTAAAATATCAGACTAGAACTTGTCAAATGGACAAGTTCTACTCTGATATTATCTTGTTTATTTCTAATTGATATTTATTTATAATTTTCTGATAGTATTCACTAAATCATATCTCAGTAATTCCTGAATTTTTTTTTTATACCACCTGTTCTTGAAAAAAATTTTTTGGCACTTCATCAAAATTAGCCCTCAAATTTGAACATCACAAGCAAGATTTCACTATATCATACAGAAATATTTAGCTAATTTTAATGAAATCAATGTGAAAATATTCTTACAATGAATAATTTAAAACATGAATATTTTTATCAATATTTAAAAAGTTTTTATGTCGATCAGTTATATTCATGAATATTTTAAAACTAATGAGACTAAAATTTTGGAGGAAAAAATGTAAAGAAGGTCAAAATTAAGTGAACATGTTTTTGTTTTCATCCAAAATCTTTTTAAATGGAGGGTAAAAGCTCCTATGACACTATATGGCATGCAACTATCAAGTTGCAATATAAATTCCATCCAAAATAATTAAAAATTTTGATGAATGTTTTTACAAAACGTTTATTTTTCAATCATAAATGTATTGTCTGTCATTAGATATAACCTTATGCCATCTTTCATGCAACTTTTTGATACCCTGTTGGAAAAATTCTTTTTGTTTAGAATCAAAAAAATGCTGACACTGCATTTTAAAGATCTTTCTGAGAATTGAAGTTTATTCCATCAAGATAATTTTGTCTCCAAAATAAATGGCAATCTGAGGAGCAATGTCCGTGGAATATGGGAATGTATCATTTTTTCGAATCAACTTCCACCAATTTTTTAGAGCTGTGTCTGGAAGGGCATTATCTTGATAGAACAGAACACATCATCTATTGACCAATGCTAGACATTTTTCTTGCAGGGATTTCAGCAGTAACTTCAGCAGTGATGGTTTTATTCCTTCCCTGCAGCTCAAAATATATCATACCTTAGATATCCCACCAAACATTGAGCAATGTTTTCATTTGATGAAGACTAGCTTTCAGCTGAGGTACCACTTTATCTCCAGGACTGACCCACTAATGATGGCATTTAATATTCTTATATTATATCCATTTTTCATTTTCAGTAATGATTTGATTCAGAAATGGAGTTCAGAGATAACGAGTACAATGAAATGCACACATCAATATGATTAAGTTGTACTTGCAATAAATCATGCAGCACCCATTTTTCCAGCTGTTTCAAATGCTATTGAACTGTTGAAAATGCTATTGTCGTATGACTTATGTCCATGACATAACTGTTAATACTGTAAATACAAAAAATTAATTAATACAATAAAAAAAAAATTTTTTTAATTTGTTGAGGCAATTACATAATGCCATATGTGAACTAAACAAAAACTTATTTTTAATAAATAATACATTTACAAAAAAATAAAATAAAATTTTAACAAATTTATTAAAACAATTCTTTCATTACTCAGTTTTCTTCTCTGACTTTTTAGTTTATCTATTTTTGCTTGTCTGTTTTTAGTTTAAATGACTGATATTTGAGAGAAATGTATATATTTTATCAATACTATATGGAATTGTGTGTCATGGATTGAATATAGATTACTAACAAAACAATTCTGCTCAGTTAGTGTCTACCCCACACAAGGCTTTCATATACTTCTAGACTCTTCCATTGCCATGTCTCATGGTCAAGCACTGATCCATCTTTCAAAATTCTCATTTGCTGGCTTTGGTCAGAGAAAGGCTGAGTGTATTCAACATTTCTCCTGTATTAATATATATATTATATATTAATGGGCTGCTAATAGCCATTGCTTATTAACTAGGAGAAGTCCCTTTAATTGCCCTAAAGCACTGTTCCCAACTTAAACTCTGAATGAGTCCATTTTCGAATTGCCCCCCTTAACAATCGAATTGCTCCCCTGTGGGGCGTGGGCCCTACTGCCCTAAAGAAATTGACTAGGTGCAAGGACTTAAAGTCCAATCCTTATCTTCACATGCTACAGTCTTAGTAACCATATCTAGTACATGGGAAACATATGCAGATCAGCTTCTTCCAACCTGTGCTGGCCAGCATAGTGGATCACGGCCAACTTCCCTCTAGCCTTGCCCATAAATTCTCTTAATAATGTACAGCCCTCAGTCCCTGGTTACAGCAGCAACTAGAAGACAGGGTGGCAAGAATCTCCAGGCTACATCACGCTGCTATATGATGATGACTTTGGTTATGAACAATGGACGATCCTTATCTTTTGAAATTCAGTTACAGGAGCTAGAAGATGAACTAGCAAGTATTAACTGGGGCATCTTAAGGAAAGGCATAGAGAAAATTGAACTCAACAGTAGATATGTATTCTACTATAGGGGAACAATAATGGGAAAACTAGTGGAGTGGGTTTTCTTGTTCACAAAAAATGGAAAAATCCTATTATTGAATTTTGTTGAAAGAGCCTACAAATTTGTTTTGTTGAACATGCTCTACAAATATGAGAAAAACAAGACCCAAAGCAAGAATAGACAAAACAGAATAAATAATACCTATAAGCAGCGCTGTCCAACTTATCATAGCCCGCGGGCCATATTTTCTTCACCAATCATTTCGGGGGCCAAGAAGGTTACTGCTGTATTCACCCAGGTTAAGTGAAGTTACNCTCCATCTATATAAGTATCCAATCAAATACATTTAAACTTTACACACACACTTTAAAATACGAAACAAATAACAATAAACAAAAACAATTAATGATCATAAATAACAACAAACCACTAAATTACATAAACAAACATAAAATAAACACTTCTAATAAAATATATTGTTTGGTTAATGTTTTTAATCAGGTTTTACACTATAAAAGATACCCATTTTGCATCTTTACTACCGATAATGTTAATTTATTAATATCACACTCGACTTAGAAAATAAACAAGGATAAGTAATGATAATGTATAAAAAAACAATTACAATGCTAAATTGTATATACAAGTAGCCTCCACCTAAAATTCATTCCTAGTTTCCAAATTAAAATCTGTACCACTAATAGGAATTACTACGGTGTATTCTGTATATATGTTTTATAAATTAAAATATGTGCATATGTTTTTCTGTTTTTTTTTTCAATTTTCTCTTAAGTGAAGTAATTATATTACTGTATAATTATTTATGTAAAAAAGTTAGATGAACTTTTGCAAATTGAATAAATTCAGTACAGATTATTGTGTTTAAAAACAACAGTTTTGTAATTAAAATTCTCTACAAACAATTGTATGGACGTAGGTTAAAAATCAATAAAAAACAGCTGGAATGATCATTGTCAAAGTTGTGGAAAATATCATGGGTTAACCGATTTTAGCGCATAAAACGACAATAATTAAACAATTCGTAATGTTCAAATGAATTAATAAGGCTTATAAGGTTAAATAGAAAGATTGGAAATCTTACCTTTATAGATCAATCGTCGTCCATGGAATTAGGACAAATACTCTCAATATTGTTATAAGATGTAGTCTTATATTTTGAAATTGAATATGTCAACTACTAAGTTTATACACTTTTCGGTGGATACATCGTCGATGTTTCCACATCTTTGAGTCGACTTAAGTCTTTAAAACGTAACACATAATACACAGTCTTTACAAGTATACAGTACTTAAGTTTGACATTTGAGGCACTCGAATAACGTAAATCACGCACAAGGAAAATAATTATCGTCCTCTGTACTACGATCCATCTTGTTTTTATCAAATTTTCGCATGCAAACATTTATCACCGAGCTCAGTGATAGCCGCCATTTTAATTTCGTCGAAATTTTCGTCTAGAGTTGGCAAAAACGACCAACCGAAAATGGACGAGAGGCTGGCGATGCTTTGTTTCGCCAATTGATCGATAACATTATCCGTAATTAAAATAAAACAGAGGGGAAAAAACTAGTTGCATTTTTTACAGATTTATATTAGAAAATTTCATTATCCTCCGAGAATTCCGCAGTTAACCGCGGTCACGTGACGTTTAGTATATTTTGGTTGTAAAATTCCATAGTTTTGTGTACGCGATAAACGAAGTTAATTGTTATAATATTGTAAAACTTTTCGTTTATACGAGTATAAAAATCTTAAACTGATGGATTTAATTAAACTTTAAATATGCCTATTCGAATATATAACAAGATTTATTGATTCGAATATACGAAATGCGTGTTTTAACTTTCTCGAACGTAATGTCATTTCATATTTTCGGTTACGTCTGAAATGTAAAATAAAAATTATTATTACCACTATTATTTCACTTATAGTATAGCGAATTATTTAAAATTATGATGGCGAAACGAAAAATATCAGAAAAATTTTGGAGTCGGGAGAGCTGAAAATATCTTTTAAAAAAATAAAATAAAATAATGGTGGGACACAATTTAGGCAAACATGCTTTTAAAAA